TCCCACCCCTTTCCAAAGGGGTGTTTTTCCTTGAAGGCCTTGAAGCCGCTCTTCAACAAGGCTATATCACCCGAAGCATCGTTTATTCTTCTGGTCAGGGTTAGCAGAGGTCTTATCCAACTGCTGGTAGTAAGCCACAAAATCGTCTTGATCAGAGCCAGATGCTTCGACCCCCCATCTTTCGGCGGCATCGTTGCCGCCTGCCTCCTACCTTGATCCATGAGAGGAGGCGGCCTCTTCACCGCCTACCTCCCTCACGCTTGAACTATCTGAGGATGAGGGAGCCTCATAATCGGAACCACCCTTCTCCTCCAATTCCTCTTGTTCCCCATCCGGAACAACTTCATTCGTGGGCATTTCCCTAGCGCATCGGCTTCTTGGGTTAATAGTCATTTGTTTAACTCTATCCAATGTGTCCTGCACAGACACAGAGATGGAGGAATTCGGGGATGAGCACAACAGTTCCGACAGTCCAGAAAAGGCACCCCCCTGTTCTAGATTAAGCCGTACCGGGAGACCGGCTGAATGTCCTAGGCAGTGCCGAGTGTGTGGATTGAGAGTTCATTTTTATTTTTAAAGACTATTTATACAGACGAAACAAGAATGTATATAGATGAATAATAAGAAAAAGTTAAAAGAGGGTACAGGCGGTTACCTTACTTTGATTATGAATTTTTTGAAAACTGCTACAGACTGGTGACCGGGTATTGTCAAAGTACGCACTCCCAAATCTTGAAAATATGACGCAGACGGATTCAGAGTATCTCTCTCTAAGAATCTCTCTTTATCTCTTTAGAAAGTCAAAATGATGAAAATAGTGAGAGAGGGGGGGGGGGGGGGTAAAGCCCTATTTATAAAGGGGTGAAACGGGGGCATCCCCGTCATACCCCAGATTTACTAGCCGTTTTTACTGGATTTTTTTAGATTTTAACACCTGCTAAAAACACGAAAATGGTTTTTAACACCTACAAAAAAATGGGTATTGACACCATAAAAATTTCCAAAACTTGGTATTCACCACTTAACGGTCTCCGTTAAAAAATTCCGTTAAATGTGGTCCACAGTGACACGTGTCACTATTTTATTTCTTTAAAAAAAATTAAAAAAATTAAAAATTAAAAAAAATTAAAAACCTAAAACTACCCCAGCCACCCCAGCCCCACCCACCGCGCTACCAGCGCCGTCCCCAAACCGTCTGCCGATGTCCGGCGTCCCAGAGAATCGCCCGGCGCCGGCGACCCCACCCCCACCACCACCCTTTCCTCCACCTACGCACCCCACCCCTTCCCTTTCCTCATTTTCGTTTCCCGACCCACAACCCCGAAACCACCCTAAACGGGTTTTAGGGTTTCGTTTGGGGTGGTAGGGAATCGATTAAGGGAGGGGGAAAGGAGAGGGAGGGCGTTTCCGAGGGAGGAGGGGCGTTTTCCGGAGGAGGGGGCACATTTGGGGTGGTAGGGAATCGATTAAGGGAGGGGGAAAGGAGAGGGAGGGCGTTTCCGGGGGAGGAGGGGCGTTTTCCGGGGGAGGGGGCGTTTAGGGTGGTTTCGGGGTGGTGGGTCGGGAAACGAAAATGGGGAAAGGGAAGGGGTGGGGGGCATAGGTGGAGGAAAGGGGGGTGGGGTCGCCGGCGCAGGGTGATTCTCTGGGACGCCGGCAGTGGGTGGGTTAGGGGACGAGGCTGGTGGCGCGGTGGTGGGGCTGGGGTGGCTGGGGTAGTTTTAGGTTTTTTTATTTTTTTTAATTTTTTTTAAATTTTTATTTTTTATTTTTTGTTTTTTAATTTTTTTTAATTTATTTTTTAATTTTTTATTTTTTGGCCAATAACAAAGCAACACATGTCTTTATGGCCTACTTAACGGATTTGTAAACGGAATCAGTGACGTGGTGGTAATACCCAATTTTTTTAAATTTGGATGGTGTTATAATCTTTTTTTTTGAGGTGTTAAAAACCATTTTTGGGTTTTTAGCAGGTGTTAAAATCTAAAATAACCTTTTTACTGTTCATCTCTCACAGGTGGACTCGTGTCACAGGCACCACGTAGCCCGCCACGTGACCTCTGTGAGGGGCAAATGTTTAGGGTAAAAATACCCTAGATATGTGGACCAATGAGAGACCACGTGTCAAGCCTTGGTAGGTCGTCGAAGGCCACTCACCAGCTGACATGTGGTTACCTCAGATAACAATCAGAATTTCGGCTTTCAAGGGCCCAATTCCCAAGAAATCCGCACTTTGCGGCGCAGCCTATCAAGCTTAGGTCAGAGTGACCTAGGGAAGGGCACTTTTCCCAACGACCCTATAAATAGGGAGATATTTCCCCATTTTGGGACACATTCAATCATTTATTACACTTACTTTCTCTCTCATCAAAGAAAACCTAATGTCGGAATCTGAGAAGATCCCATTTAATTTTCCGTCCATTTATCTCTCTTCAAGTTACTAACTTGATCTTCGGAGGCGGAGCTCCAACCACCCGGAGTCTCTGTTGCTTTTGCAGGTAGAACTCAGCCGGACCAATCTTAGTGACGTAACTTTCCCGAGGGACAAAAACACCCAAAACATGTCTCAAATACCTTTTTAATGGGCAAATAGAAGTTTATATGTCAGATTAACGAATAATGGCAATTTTTGTAAATATATTAAAAAAGTGTGGTAATTTATTCAATACTTTTGATGAGATGTTCAATTACTGTTTGCAACTTGTATTTAGGAAATTACACATGCACCCCTAAACTAGTACATGAAAAGACACATGTACCTCTCAACTAGTACTTAAAAAGATTACTTTACCCCATTTTGTTTATCTGGAAGATAAACTGGGCATAACTCAGTTTTAATGAGATGAGAGAAGGGGGGGGGGAGCATGCATTTATTCAATCCATTTTAACCATTATATCATATGTCTTCATATATTCCCTAAAGAAAAAAAAAAACCTATTTCGTATTATTTTCTTCGGATATCGAGTTAAAATAATTTGAGCCCTACTAATTTTTATTTATTTTTATAAAAAAGTTAAGTTCATCAATATATTTGAGCAAGTAAAAAATAAGTTATGTTTTGAAAAAAATAGTAACTTTAAAACAAAAATAATGGGGAATCAAGAAAAACTAATTTTGATCAGCATATACAAGTTAAGCATAGCAATTTTTATTTTATTTTTTGTTGGTAAGGAGAAGAGGTTGGAACTTCTCACAGGTCCTCTGGATCCGGGTTAGTAGGCTAGGAACTTTGAAGGTGAGGGAGAAGGGTATGGGAATCCTCACCCAAAAGTGCCTCTAGTGAGATTTGGTCCTACAACCTCTTGATTATGAGATGCAAACTGTCACACTTTACTTGGTTTAGAAAAAATTATTTGATTACATTTGAATTCACCTAAAACAATTAAGCTTAGTAACAATGAAAAAAAAAAAATCTACGAATCTACTCTCCTCTCCTATTTTGTCTTCCTCTCTTTTAGGGTTTTATATATTTTTGCCATTTAGGTTGAAAATAGTTTCGACCATATTTCCATAATTTTTTTAGTTTTATAATTTATGTTTCAATAAATCTACACACATAGTGTAGGTGTTGGTCCGTCTCTCTATCCATGGTAGAGTTGTTCATTTATGTTTTTGTTTTTTGCTAATGTTCAGGGGTTTTTCATGTGTTAGGGTTTATCAATAAAAAGGTGATCATCTTAACCTTATTATCAGTTCGTTGGTGAAGATTTCAAGGTTGCATTGGTTGTCAAATTTTCAAATATATTTGGTAAATCAGATGAAAACCATCCTTACAACTACTCCCTGGGTCCCCGATTGATAGTCACTTTTGAAGAAAAATCACGGGAATTAAGGAGAATTAAAGAAAGTACATTGAAAAGTAAATTTACATTGGGTATGCAAAAAAATAGAAAGAGAGTAATTAAAGTACATGGGAAAGTAAATTTACATTGGAAAGTTAAATTTGCACAAATATTTTTGCAAATGTTAGAAAATTTGGTAAAAAAAAATTAATGGTACTTGAAAAAAGCAAATGTGACTAACATTTTGGAAGCCCAAAAATGGCATAAGTGACTATCAATCGGGGACGAAGGGAGTACAACATAATGTTAGACCGTCTTATCTAACAAAAGGTTGTGCATTCCGGCGATGTATGCAAGAGTTGTACCACAGTACAAGATCCATTTAACGATAGATTGTAGCTTTGATGAAGGGTAATCTTTTTTTGATTCATCAATATTTTGTGTTTCTTTAATTTAGATTTCATTTGTAAATGTCGCATGATTTTTTTATAATGAATTGATTGTGTCTTTTAAAAATAAATAAATAAATAAATAAAACCTGGAGAAAAGAACTACTCCCTCCGTGTTTTTTAAGTGTTACACTTTTCATTTCCGACCGTGTTTTTTTTTAAGTATTAACACTTTCTTTTTTGGCAAAAATTACATTAAAATATTATATCTCTCTCGACTCATGATTCACACCCAAACCCAATACTACCTTTTTATTATATCTTTCCTCTCACATTCATTACTTTTCAATGAACTATTAACCCCACTATCTTTTTTTACAATTTTTTAATACTTCAAGTACCCCACTTACCTCTTATTTTATTCAAGTCAATTAAATTGCCTAAAATTATGTGTTGGTCAAATGTAACACTTAAAAAAACACGGAAGGAGTACATTATAACAACTTGAGAAGTCAGACACTTGTCTTATAATTGTTTATTAATGTCGTAAATTGTACGACGTAGCTTAGTAAACACTAATACTAGGGGGATAAACATGCTTCATGATTTATTCCACTAATACTGACTTAACTCAAGCACTACAACTAAGTTATAAACTGGTACTTTTAATTAGGAGAATATTTAGGTACTAACACTTCGGTGGATTGACTAATAATGCTTAAGATATTTTTTGAAGCATTTTCCAACAATAACTGCATTTCACCATTTTACATGAATTGAGGAATTGTCAACATTATTTTACATTGCATACTATTTTCTCTTATAAATAGAAATTACCTTAGCGCACTTTTCATATCAAAGCAACTCATCAAGAAAAATTTGAGTGTTAACTTGTGAGCATTTCATGAAAATGGCCTACTCTAAGGGTTTTCTCCTTCTCGGGCTTCTTTCTTTTGTTATCTTGATTTTCTCGTCTATGGTCTCAGCTCGCCAACTTACCGAATCTGCCTCTACTACAGAAACGACTCGTAAGTTTTTTTCTTCTTTCTTTTTAGTTTTATCTTTAATGTACAAGAAGTTTTTGTTTAGCAAGCTTCAGTAATTTCTAAACTTATAAATATATTTTTTTTTTTGTTGAAAAAGAAAAAAAGGTAGCGACTTAAAAACAAAGGTTCGTTTTTATATTACAACTAAATATCGTTAATAAAATGTCAGACCAACCCTAGGCTTTAACAATTAATTAAACCTTCTAATTACTTCAATTGTTTCTTTGACAACAATTTAATGCAATAATAATTATTAAAAAAGTGCGCAAGCTCAACCTAAATTTCCCGGTATGTAAAACAAGATTACCTCCGTTTTTTATTAGTTGACACATTTTAACTTTAGCACTATTCATATATACACCTCCCTTTGACCATGCATGTTTTGTGAATTACATATGAAGAAAAATTAAGCTGAGTGGGATCTTGCTAGATTCGTTACAATGTATAATTTCAAAATATTAACCTTTTATAATTTTTGCTTATTAATAATGAAAGATATTAATAATTGAATTTATGCATTGGCAAACGTGACTAAAGAAACGTGTTAAATAAAAAGAAAAGGAAGAAGTATTTGATTAGAAAAGATATGCATTTATTTATTTATTTATTTTTTAATATTGCTCTTGGTGCTTGCAGAATTCGCAAAAGAGCCAAAGGTGTTAGATGGACACGGAGGCTATGGCTATGGACATGGTGGCTACGGACATGGTGTTCACTACGGGCACTACCCACCAAAAGAAGTGATGGCTGTAAAGGATGAAGTAGAGCCAGAGGTTTATGGCCATGATGGTGGTTATGGCCAAGGTGGATATGATCATGGAGAATACGGTCAAGGTGGATACGGTGGTTCAAGCGGTGGGTATGGTGGATCTGGTGGTGAATATGGACATGGTGGGTATGGCGGTTCTACGGGTGAATATGGTCATGGTGGGTATGGCGGTTCTACGGGTGACTATGGTCATGGTGGATATGGCGGTTCTACGGGTGAATATGGTCATGGTGGATATGGTGGTTCTAATGGTGGATATGGTCAAGGTGGGTATGGTGGTTCCAGCGGTGAATACAGAGACAGTGGATATGGTCAAGGTGGGTATGATGGTTCTACGGGTGGATACGGAGACGGCAGATACGGTGGTCACTACACACCAAAAGAAATAATCAACAAATAAAATAGAGATGAAGCTATCTAGTTTGCGTTCTTTCAAAAAAGACCTGTCTAGTTTGCGTTATAAACTTGTAATTGACATGCATGCATACATAAAATGCAATTAAGGTTCTTTAGATTTATGTAACGTTAATAAGCATGTCGTTTATATATATGCACCCTCCTTTGTTAAGTACTATAAAGTCTAAAAATTCCTCAATATATTTGATCGCCACGTTTGGAATTTTTCACTAGTTTTTTTTTTTTTTTTTTTTTTTTTTTTTTTTTTTTGAAAACCCAGGGAGGGGTTTTACACTAGCTATCAACACACACTTCATTAATTGTGTTTTGTGATTTACACGTTATGTTAAATCTGTGTTAGAATGTACTCTCATAATATCAATATTTAATAATTTTCACAACAATATATGCAACTTAAAATATTTAAGTTATAAAATACGCAGTTGATGTGATCGAATTTAATGGATATAACTTGTAATCGTAATTGAAAGGTTTTGAGCTCTTGAATCTCGCTCGATCAAGAAACTGTTATTTCAGATGATATACTACAAGAGGGGGGTGAATTGTAGTAAGTTCCTAGTGCTTAATTTTCGCGGAATATAAAATACTTATAGTTAGGAACTTAAAAAGTGCAAAGCAGATTTTATAAGGAAACTTTCTAGGGCCCAACTGGAAGTAAAACCTCTACCCACCAAGGGATTTTCAACACAACCATTTCACTATAATAGGGCGAAACACCTAGTTACATCCTATTATACACGGACCTTTCTCATAAGTTCTACCAAGGACACTTGCTACCTGATAGGAACTTATCCTACCGACCCAAGACACATATACACACTCAGGTTCCATTCACTTGACACAAGACACTCTCAGGTTCCTTTCACTTGACCCAAGTCACACTCAGGTTCCTTTCACTCACTGTGCACTCACAGCTAGCACTTGAATTTTAGAGAATTCAAACTCATACATGAATTTTAGAGAATTCAAACTCATCACACCCCAATACCCAACATACTCAAACCCTTTTTCTCATTACAGATCTCATTGAATAACTCTAAATACATATATATGAATAAAGAGATAAAACTAATATGTTGGATACTCGAAATCTGTCTGGAACTAACTGGACGTACTATAACCAAAACCTGATAGGAACTTTGAACAAAAGGACTGACTTAGCTTCGTGGTGAAGGATAAAACCATTAAGCACGACCACTACACTTCGTCAGCCTCAACTTTAAATGAATACATATGAGCATATTTATAGTATATTCGAATTATTCATTTCACTTTGAAAAGATAAGTTTAAAGGATAAGTTTTCCGAAAATATATCTATTTGTTAAGAATAAAATTTTTCAATGATAATAAGATATAGTTAATATAAAATCAAATTTTATTCAAAACTTATCTTTTTGTTTACAAAAAACTTTTTAAACAAACTTATCTTATTCCAAAAGGGATTTATTAGAAATAAATATTTTTATTCAGTAAAACCGAATCCCTAAAAGATATACACATATTAGGTAAATATATATCTTTAAAACCGACTTTTAAAGACTTGTATACTTAAATTTCTATTAGGTTCAGAACTCTGACAGTCTCTGAGTTCCTGACAAGTCAGTAACTCTAATTTCATTGACTGTCTGGAGTTCACCTTGGTTTTATATAAATATGTTCCAGACCGACTTTTATGTCCAACATACTTACATGAATCCTAAAGCAATATACTCCTATTTCTCCATCTTCATGTTGCTTCTCTAAGACTCTTGTTCTAGAATCCTGTACTCTTGATGTATTCTGGATCTCTGGTTTTGCCCCAGCATTACACCGGAACCAGGTCGTTACAACCCGTTGCGAAGTTTCAGTTAGGGAACTCCTTGAAGTTTCATTTCTGGAACTCTTCTTCTGCTTTACTTGTCTTTCTTAGTCTTCTAAAGTTCCTCTGTTTCAGTCCTCACTTCAACCCCTAGAGTTTACTTATCCTGCAAACATCAAAACACTAAAAGACTCTTATTAGATATGATAGAAGTTTGCTCAATCATTAACATCATCATCAAGACCTAATCAGGGTAAACAATTTCCCCTTTTTTTATGATGACAAATTGAGCAAACTTCTGAGGATAACAGAATAAAACAGAAGGTTATTTTTATTTATAAAAACAATAAAGAAAACTAAAACAAAACCAAACTAAGCTAAAGCTAGCAAACTGGAAAACTAAACTAAATTAAAAGACTCCTACAAATACATGACTTATATATGCATAGAATACTTAATTACCTCGTGAAGCTAACAGATGTAAACACCTATTTACATAGTTACCTTCATGTTTCCTTCACCATCATCATGTTCATTAACCATCTCTCATCATTTCTCTCTTGTTCAATATTGCTCAAGTTCCCTTTATATATATATATATATATATATATATATATATATATATATATATATATATATACCTGTCATTACTCATGTTTCTTGTGCCCTGTTCTAGCATAACTTGTTCTTTCTATGTACAACTAAACAAACATGTTAGATAGATAATCATCAATAGTTTATAATCATCAAAATCTTATTACTCAACAGAAACACTAAGCTATATGAGCTTTAAACCTTAACAAGGCTAAGAATGTACATGATGCGGCAAGGCCTCGAGCTAGGCACGACAGAAATTAAAGAAAGCACTGCTATAAGGGGGGTGTAGGTTTAGGTTAAAATAATAGTGTTTAGGGTTTTGTTTTAATTTTAATTTCCGACAGAATATTTTTTCGGAAAGTACATTTATTCCGACGAATTTATATTTCATCGAATATTTCTAACGGGAATTTTGAATTCGTCATAAATATCCAATGTAATATAAATCCATTGAAAAGTTCGACTTTTCAGCCAGAATTATGTGTCCATCGAAAATCGGTTGTTTTCTTGTAGTGTTAGGCTTTTTAATCACTTAACTTCACTAAATAATTAGCTCTAGTGACAGACCCAACCTTGTTCAAGGTAGTTCACATGACCCAGGAAATAAAGGGGTTAAAATAGAAATGAAAGCAATTATATCTCATATACATCTCCATGGTTTAGTGATCAAGTATTCAAGTGCATGAATTGAAAACTTTCTAACTTGGCATGGGGGAATGCAAATCAATTCGCATACCATAATTAACTTTTTGTTTGACTATATTTTTACTTGACATTTTACAAATTTTATAATTTGTTTTTCATTTTATTATTATTATTGTATATATTATTTTACACAATCATACTTTAGTTTTGTACGTAGATTTATTTTCTCCCTATTATGTACATCAATTTACTAATTTAAGTAATCTTATGTAATGTTAGATAATTTCAAGAGTTCAATTAAACCCATAAGGGAAAATTTTTGAATCCGCAATTGCTTTTATTTATTCAATTCCATATTAACTCCATAATAGCAACCTCTTAAATCAGTGAATGTCGATGACCCAACACCTATAAAACCCTGAATTCGCCACTATTAGCTTCATAATTAATTTTGAACCCTCAATTGGAATAATACTTGTTCGAAGGACACCATTATTTTCCATATATTATTCAAACGAATTTTATTCTTCCTAGTTGCTTCAACCTAATAACTTGGTCGAATGGGTTTGTGAAAAGTTTGTTGTTTCTGTGACTTTGTTGCTTAGTGAAAATACCTTAAAATTTACGTGATAAAATTTAAAATTTTTAGAATCCAACGCAAAAAAAAAAATTAAAGAAAGAAAAGAAAAGAAAATCGTGCAAAAGCTCCATGTAGAACTCCATGTATGAACTAAAAATTTCTACTATGCAAAACTGGTATGAAAATAAACAGACCTCTTAACAAAAATGCGCACAATTTAACAACAAGCCATCTCAAATATTATGAAATTTTACAGGTGAAAAGTTGGAAGAAAAATATCCATATTTTAAAAAAAAGAATAGTAAAAAAAAGTCTTTTTTTAATGAGCTCAGTTAAGGGAAAATGAGGCAAAACAAATTAATACACAAATCGGGTTTAGATCATGATATTTCTTAAGAAAAATTTTGACGGCTCTGATACCACTTTGATTTGGATTTTAATGGATATCAACTTCAATCGCAATTGTAAATTTTGGGATATTAAGTCTCGATCAAGAAAGTATTTATTTATCAAAAAGACTGGTTCGTTATCTGTAGGGAATATTTCAAGCATTACCCCAAACTTGAACCCCACTTTGATCATACACTTAAGCATGGTGGCGTCCAAAGGGAAGGAAGCTAGAGCAAAAGAGTCGCCAACAAGTTTTAGGAACTTGAAAACCGTTCACAGGGTGAAGGTTACACCCCTTAACGATCCAGGAGATCGTCAACTCCAATAGGTCTGGAACCATGACTGGTGTTCGGGGATGAAGGTACAAATCTAACCTAAAAGTGATTGAACCTGCCCTAATAATAGGCCTCTACTTTATTCTGATCGTATTCATGTGCGCTTTCTGACTAACATGCAATCATTAGGATTACCCTAAACCTGTTTATCTATGTTGGTTGAATATTAATGCACAAATAAATCTATTATTGGCGATCACTTGAATTATAACCAAATTAACCCTAAACAAGATTATTAATTATCTTATTAAGCGTGATTACAAGTACCAATTCCCTTTAAACATGCATAAAAGGCGTGATCAAGCAATAACGATAAATATCAAACAACATAATAAATCATAATAATCATCATCATAATTTTAATCATCATAATAATAATAATTAAAATAATCATGATTAAAATAATCATGTTAAATCATAATATTAATAGCAAGATCCTAGACATGATACTAACAAGATTAATAACAAACCCTAGCATGTCACTAAACAATAAAGATCAAAGCTTTAACCCTAACATGATACTAACATGAACATAAGGAAGAAAATAGAAAGTATCGCAGGAATCACAATTATCATATTTGATGTTAGAAATTATAATTGTTACCCTAAACATGATACTAAGAAGATCAAAACGCCCTAACATGACACTAGGAATCATAATAACAACCTAGTCATGATTTCTATATCATAATATCCATAAAACCATTAAAGCACTTACTTGGATGCCTTGTATCTCTTTCTAATAACAAAATACACGCGTTAGTAACTTCAAGGAAAATAATAAAATTAAAAAATTAAATTAAATAATTGAAATAAAGAATTAAGAAATATTAG